TTGGAGTCAAGCAGGAGGTGTGTTTGTGTCGAGACGAGGCAGTATTGGCCGCATTGCGGATTTCAGATCAGGTCATCCCCTTTGCCTAGCAAGGGAATTGGCTTTCACCCTTACATGGGCACAATCAGGCACCTGTTGCTTGATTATAAAGGGAAACCAAGAGCAAGAGGAAACCAAGAAGCTAACCATTTTGGGGATCCCATATTTTGACACCAACATCGACTCACTTGACATTGGCAAAGAGGATAGAGAATCACCCACAAGGAATATCTCAAATTGGGGACTCCAAAAAATGGGTGACTTCCCTTTGAATATCTGTTGGAACCATCCCAAAGGGGTACTTGATCCATCTTGACAGAAAGGGAATTCTGATGTATATGAAGAAGGCCTTCTATGGATATGCGCCAAACCCGCGCCATGGAAATTTGGGGCTGAAGACGATATAGGAAATTCACTTGCAATCCGCCGAATTGGTGAGGTGTCAAACCATCAAGTCGATGCATTTTCTTGGCTTCCCTCCAGAGGGCACCCAAAAAAAGACTCTGGGGAAGAAAAGAAGAAGGAAAACGGGACACCAACAGCCCGGCAGTGGCCTAGGCCTCCCCCGCCCAAAAAAGGAAGAAAAAAAGAAGGGAGAGAAACAGGAAAAACAAGAAGGGAAGAAGAACAAAAAGAAGAAAAAAAGAAACGGAGGGGCGCCGGGCCTCAGCTTGGTGCGGAGCGCTTCTTCCTCCCCCGGCGTCAGCTGTTGGCCCAGGCGGTCCCTGCGGCTGCGATAGGCCGCGCCCAGCGCCGCCGCCTCCGAGGCCGGGATCTGCGCCAGCAGCGCCGCCCTGGGATCGAAGCCGCCGGGTTTGGCATCAAATCAAAACCCCGGCGAAGGCGGGGATCCAAATGGTCGACCCAGAACCATGTAAAGGATCCAAATGGTCGACCCACCATGCTTCAAGGATTTTATGAAATAGTCGTAATCCCAGAAGAATGCTTCAAGAATTAAGCCGGGTATTCGCAGCGATTTTTATGGTTGGGAGTGTCCCTTACTAATTCATCTACCCGGGTTTTGAGTGTGGCTCAAGTGGCTGGGGTGAGGGCTGGCTGGGGCTGGGGCTGGGGCCGCGGGTTGGCCCCAAGGTGGACTCGCCTTTTCAATCGAAGGCCTTACAGTAAGGGCGGCGTATGATGCCAAGCGTGACACAAGGGTCCCTGCTCTTCCAAAACCAGCTTTGAGAACGGAGCCCGATTTTGGGATACACCGCAGAAAGACAACAAAATCGAAGGAGGAGTCTCTCTCGAGACCTTGTAGGTTTTCAAGGCGAGCCAAAAGGAAGCCACCCAAATGGAAACGCGGAAGACTGGCCCAACCAAAGAAGGAACCTCAAGAGCGCCGAAGTGGGCTCAACCCTACAGCCACATTCACCCAAATTACCATAACCAAAACAAAAACGGAGATGTGCATCTGGGTCATGGTTCCATTTGTGAATGGATCTCTTGCATTGTGTTGGTAAGTTTGATCTCAAGAGGTCCATGACCGACAGGCCAAGTGTAGGGGTGCTTTCATGGTATGAATGGACCGAAGAAATGGGGTCCGGGGAAAAACATCCTCCGGACAATCCCTTTACAGCTTCCTCGAAGTAAAACGTAAATCATTGAGCGCCAGTGATACGGAGATTGAGCGAAGAGACAGAGGAAGACTTGGGGCCCCAAGCGAAAAAGAAGCAAGATGTGGATGTTCCTGCTTTGCGAGGGGACACCAAACCAAACTGGAAAAGAACACATCAAACCAAGGAATGGAAGCGGGGGACCGTTCCAAAACGGCAGGTGTTTTTTTTCGGACTGAAGCCGCCAGCCCCGCGCCCCCGCGCCATCGGTTCCGGAAAGCCCAAACCATGTTTGAGGTGGCAACATGTCCACCTTGCCCGGCCCTTGCGCTTCGCATATGGCCAGTTGGTTCTTCTCCCAGCTACGTCAACCCCATCCCGCGGGAAGCGAGTTCACCCCCTCAGACCATAGGAACCCTGCACGCAATATGTTTCCCCTCCCCACAACCTCGATTGGGCTGGCCTCAAAGGGGAACCGATTTCAACATGGAGTTTCTGTCTCCATTCAAACTTAGATTCGCTCCATGTTGGTAGACTCATATCAATATATTTGCATGTGGAACCTGATGTCTTTTTGGGGGCAAGCCCCCTGTCGCTTGGGTTCGAAAGGGACACCCAAAGGACATTCCTGAAATCGGTTCCCCCATTTTGAGACAAACCCACTTTTCATGTCCCCAAATTAACCCTCTTAGGGAGTTTCCATCACTTCCGAAAGACTTCCCCCCATTCGAGGCCGAGCGAAGTTACCCCAGCGACGTCCAACCGACGTCGACGGCCCGGCCGGGCCGCAGGCGCTCGCAGAACTGCGCCTCCTTGGGCGTCCCCTGCGCCGCGATCTCGGCCAAGACCCCCGGCAGCGGTCCGCCCGCGCCCGGCTGGGAGCCTTGGGAGGCCTGCGAGGCCTGCGAGGCCAGCAAAGGGAGCGGAGCGAAAAACCAGCTCTGCAAACGGAAACAAAAAAACACACACTTAAACTCCAGATAGAGGGTGCTAATCTTTCGAGTACAACTGATGAGTCTCGAGTACAACTGATGAGTCTCGGCTGAGTTCTGCTTGCAAGTCACTTGGCTTCACTTTAGAAACGAAAACGTTACCCGAAAGAACAAGAAGCACAAACAGCGCCGCAACCAAGGGGGGCCAAATAGACATTCAGAATCACTTGCAGGTACGCATTGAGGCGTCCCTCAACGCTTCCGGCCAAACTTCCATAGCTTCGTTGGCGTGGCTAGGAAGATGGCTGCCACGCCCCCTGCTACCCATAGTGGTGACAGGGCATTCTGTCACTCCGCACACACACGCCCCTCAGTGAGGGGCGAGAAGTCTCTTTTTCGGCAGGAAGATCACATGCTCAACTTTGTGTCCCTATCGTTTACCAAAATATCCACCGCGGCGAGGGGAACGTGAAACTGCCCTAAGCCGCTCAGAAGACGGGAACGATGAGAGATCCCATCTTGAAAGCGAGTCAGATCCTCAGTGGAGAAAGCCGCCGCATCCGATGATCTAAGAATCGCATCCAACATTTGCGGTGACATACACAATGCCGAGGATTGCGTGGCCACGATATGTTGATCAGGAAAAGACATCGAGTCGAAGTCATGACCAGCTTGAGGGGCAGCGACTCGCCGATAGCCCTCTGTGGCCCAGTCTCTTTTGTACCAAATGCTGTCTTTGGGCTGCACCGTCTTGATCAGGATTTGGGACATAGAACTCCTTCCACTCTCTGTATGTGTGAGGCGGAGGTGGAGCATCATGTTCGTCCTGTGGAGTCCATGATCCCGGATGAAAGATCTTGACCCACTGGGCATCTGGCTGTTGAGGATCCGGACACCACTCCAGCCACGGCATGACAACTCAAACACTTGATGACAGATTGAGAGGTGTACGGCTGCAGACAGCTATTACTACATGTGACACAACATCAAACATGCAAGCAAACACTTTTGTAGCAAGGCGCGGCTCAGGTGTCGAAGTCACTCGCCCCAATCAATTTGAATTGAATATCCAGACAAGACGAGGACGAGCATCAGCCACCATCTGAGTTCGAGGATGCCGACGAAGAGGACAGTCCAGCGTACATGAGGTCTGGTGATCCCGAACAATGTTGGGGTGCGGATGACCGAGCCGTTGATATCCTCTGGTGACCCAGTCACGATACTGCCATGTATAGAAGGACGCATATGAGACCGGCTGGGAAACAGAGCCCATATTGGTGCCGTCCGTGCTGTCCCTAGGCCAATACACGTCGAAGTGGTAGACTTTGCGCCATTCCCGATAGGTGGTTGAGTCCTCCGGGGCAGGTCCCAAGGTGTTTTCGGCAACTGGTTGCCACGGACCAGGTACATAGACCCGAATCCATTCAACGCTTGTGCCCGCAGCGCCATTGACGATGTCGTACTCAAAGTATCGTGGCAGGATCCATCTTGCAGCGCCATATATTGTAGAATTGAACATATCAACCAGGGAAGCCGCTAGGAGGCAAAAGGGAAGCGGCGAAAACATGGAGACGGAAAGCACAACACAATCCAAGACAACCCAACATGATGCCGCAATCAAATCAGGCACACTCGCATCATTTTAACCGACATGTTGCTCAAGTATCAATCCGAGTCGTTCCAAGGATCATAGAATGGTGGTGGTGAAGGTTCCCGCCACGCCCCATCCGGAACTGAAGACTCCAACGAGGAAGCAGCTTCTTCATTCACGAGCGCCACCGATCCAATGGCTGGTAGAGGAACGCCAAGGCGTTGATAACCTCGTGTTTCCCAGTCTCGGTACTCCCACACGTGGTATGACACATACGAACTGGGCGTGACATTGGGGTCCGCAGCTGTTCCTCCGGTGCTGTCTTCGGGCAAGCACACGTCAAAGTGATATGACTTGCGCCACTCCCGATACGTGGAAGCGTAGTTTGGGGCACGAACCAGAGTATCTGTGGCTACGGGTTGCCACGTGCCCGGTGTGTAAATTCGAATTCATTCCACTCCTCTCTCGATGTGGTACTCAAAATAGTGAGGGTTCATAGCGGCAAAACGGGTCGTCGCAGGGCCGCTGAAAGAAATCATAAATCCACTGAATCTGCGGCGAAGACACTCATGCCATGACAACCTGACGCAATGAGAGTGTGTTGAACAACGCAATGCAAGGCAACTTTTCAAACTGAAGGCGGGACAAATCCACAAGGTCTATAGTATACGACACCTATGCTTCACCGCCGCTGATGCCGCACACACCTGCAATGGTCATGTCCTGGTCGGCGACGAGCACAGGGAGAAAGACACTTCCGTCCATGATGTAGAAAGGCATGACAGTAACGCTTGCAACTTGTCTATGGGGACAGCGATGGACGGGTGGCTCGTTTTGAAGGGAACACGGTGAAGGGTCGCCGAGATCTCCGCAGGGCAGAAGCGGATGCTGTTCGAGAGCGTTTCGGAGAACGCCTAAGACTGCGTAGATCATCATCACGGAACTGGTCAGTGCTGCATATCGAGCGGCGTGTGCGCTGCGATTTCACTGTGGCAGGGCAGGACTGTCCTCGAGGAGAAGGGCTCGAGGAGGCCCGCACTGAGGGCATAAACTGTGGGTGTAGAATCACCGGTGGTGGTGGCGGTGGAGGAGGTGGAGGTGGAAGAAGTATTGGAAACCTTGGCGGTGGCGGAGGTGAAGCAGTCCATCGAACTGGTCTGTCAAGCAATGTACCAGGCCCGTGAAACTGTAACCACGTCGGCTGCGCTCCATGGGTCCAAGTAATGTATGTCTGCACATCTTGCTCCGACATGATTTGAGCAGCGAAGAAGGCATGGCGTCCCCGAAGTAGTTGTAGAAATTTGCGACTGCGTGAGTGTTCTCGTCGTAGAACGTCCTGATCAGTCGCACCAACGTAGTATGGCGTGTGCCATGGAGAAAGTCGGATGTAAACGCATGGTTGTTGATGATGACCTGGATCGTGAATGAAGTCATAGAGGTCCGGAAAACGTGTCCGTAATGAGCGAAGATGTCTTGTGTCTGCAAAAGTGGAATGCATAATTTCGCACAACAGAGATGTCTTGTAGAAGTGAAGAACCTCGAAGAACGGTGGGACATATCCATAATCTTGAGAAATGAGACGCTGTAAGAAACTGATCAATAAATAGGCCGTGCACCGGCACCTGTGAAGTTCATACCTGTTGGCCACAGTGTGGTAAGATTGTGACATGGCGTGAATCGGAATCTGAAGTGCAATCCGGACCACAACTAGTACTTCCAGAATAAGGCCCAACCAAGGTAGTTGTGCAACTGACTCATATTCATCTATTGGTATCGACGGTGGTGGTAGTCCAGGAAAGCAGTATTGCCAGCACGTAGAGAACATTGTCAACGAGTGTAGAAAGGTGTCCAGAGAATGCCATTGTGCAACATCATCATAGATTCCACAGCGGCGAAGCTCAGCCAACATGGTGAACATGCAACCAATGAAATCTACAGTGTGGCGGCGACATGAATGCAAGCGGCAATTAATATCAAGCAAATGACAACGCAAGCACAGACAAGCGCATCATCAAACAAGTGCAAAGCAAGAAGATGACGGACGAGTTTTGAACCTTTCCTCAACCGTGACACAGCTGCCGCTCCGGGCTCATAAGTGAACGAAGGGGACTGCTCACCCACTGAGTAAGCGGGCGGTCACGATGAGGTGACACAGTGCTTTGTCAGTGAGCTTGGTGAGGTAGCCGGGCTCCAGTCCCCACAGAGCCGCCATCGCCCCAAGCGTAGGTGCGTCTGCTTTTGGCATGCGTTGACGCGCCTGAAGGAGTTGCATCGCCATGGAATCCAAGGACTTGTTGCCGTTGAGACGGGACGGGTGATTGGCCCACTTGATCAATGACGCCAAAGTGGTGGTTGTGGGCGATTGCTTGAGATACAAGCGCGGCTGATCACTAGTCCATGTGTAGTACTTGATGACGTCATCCAGCGTGCTGTGCGTGGTGAGCAATTGTGACGCCGCCGGCTTGGAAGGCGGTGAAGAAAGTCCGTGAAGAGACTGAAGGATCCGGGGTTGCACCGCGCCATCAAGCGACTTGCCATCAAGGGCCGCTGCGCTGGCCGTAGGGAGGGAGCTGGGAGGTGACGAAGATTGTGTGTGGCTGACCGGTGGTGGTGTAACCAACTCTGCATCATCCTTCTGGTTTGGCACCGTGGGGGAAGTCGAAGCACGTAACGATGCTGAATACTGAGCCTGGAGCAACTCATGAGCACGATTTAGATCGTTGTACTTCTTGACCATGTCATCCGTCTGGGTAGAAGGCGTGAGAGTTGCGTGGTGTTGCTGAAGAAACTGAAGTACCAAGTTGGCCAAATGGTCATGAACCTTGATCCGCTGATTGAAGTCGTTTAGGTTGAGCTCCAGCGAATTGGCAAGGTCCTTTTCCAAGGTAAGCAGGTTGATCGACTGTGATCGTCGTAGTAGTTTGGAACAGGTACTCCAAAGTAAGGCCTCGGTGCGAGTGCGAAAGCCTTCCCACGTCACGAACCTGCCGTGAGCAAACGGTCGGAGCAGCCAGTTGGTGAGGCCCCCATGAATGACCTGAACCAGGCGAACGTCACGAATGTCCATGCCGGACATGTCACGTAGGTTGTTGTGCGGGGTGCTGGCGACCGTCATGGGCAGGCTGAAGTTGTAGAGCTGATTGATATCTAACATGCCATCTCCAGGTGTCCAGTCAGCCGATGGTGTAATGGCGAACCGGCAGGGCTGCAGGGTATCCAGGTGATGGCGTAATGACCGGCGGCGGCATCACGGGCGTCATGAACTTCGTTGGCGTGGGCTCTGGAGGAACCGGCATCATGTAGTTGATCGGTGAATGATGGAACTGCTGCGTGGGGTTTGGAATCGATTGATAATTGGTCGGCATCACCGGGAAATTGC